TGAGAAAGATCAGTCTAAAGAAAAGGAGAAGAAAGTGAAAAAAACAATACCTTCCTGGGCTACCCTTTCTGCCAGCCAGCTCGCCAGAGCCCAGAAACAAACCCCAATGGCTTCTTCTCCACGGCCCAAGATGGATGCCATCCTAACTGAGGCCATCAAGGCAAGTATTGATTTCCAGCGTATCATCTCATTTATTCTGTTCATCTTTTCTTTATTTAAAAATGATGTCTTTCTGGCCAGACGTCAGTGCCCTGGTGTGTAGTAGGTTGAGTTTTGGACTGCTAATCAAAAGTCACTGATTCAAAACAGCCATTCCAAGGGAGAATGAGGAGTTTTGTTTCCATACTTAAAACCTAAGAAACTGTAAGGAACAGTTCTTTTTTGTCCTGTAGGGTCACTAGGAGTAGAATTACTGTGGCAGCAATGTGGGATGTTTGTTTTCCTACAAGAAACAAATGGAAGAATGCCATTGTGAGGTTTGATAAGCCCCATTGTGGGTTGGTTTTGGTTTTGTATTATAAACTGACTTTTAATAATGGTAATAATTTTATTTTAGATACAAGAGGCAAATCTGTATATATAATATATATATATATTTAATCATTTTATTAGGGGCTCATACAACTCTTACCACAATCCATACACACATCAATTGTGTAAAACGCATTTGTACATTCATTGCCCTCATCCTCAAAACATTTTCTCTCCACTTAACCCCCCAGCATTAGGTCCTCATTTTTCCCCTCCAAATCTGTATATTTTAAAGTAAATCAGTGTACATCATCCTGGCCCATGGGGCCTCTTTACATGTCAAATCACATGGGTCTAGCCACAAGTCTTCCCCCTCCCCCGCTCCTTTGTAATCCAGCATGAAGTGGCCAAAGAGGGAAAAGCAGTGGGGGAGGGTGGGGGGCAGGGACGCCAAGATGCTGTGATGTCTTGTTGATTTTTTTTTTTAATTAAATATACCATAGCAAGTATTTTTAGCTTTTAAGAAAAAACTTGCGGGTGGGTTGAAAAGGGGGAAGCGATTACAAGGATCTACATTTGACCTCCCTGGGGGACGGACAACAGAAAAGTGGGTGAAGGGAGACGTCGGACAGGGCAAGATATGACAAAATAATAATTTATAAATTATCAAGGGTTCATGAGGGAGAGGCCAGCGGGGAGGGAGGGGGAAAAATGAGGACCTGATGCCGGGGCCTTAAGTGGAGAGCAGATGTTTTGATAATGATGAGGGCAATGAATGTACAAATGTGCTTTACATAATTGATGTATGTATGGATTGTGATGAGTTATATGAGCCCCTAATAAAACGATTTTTAAAAAAGGAAAAGAAAAACTCACTTTATTGATATTTGAATGTTGAATGTAACTGTATATACATATATATAAGGAGCTCTGATGGCCCAATGCTAAAATGTTCAGCTGGTAACCAAATGGTTGAGGTTTGAACCTACTAGTTGCTTCCAAGGAGAAAAATACAGCAGTTGCTTGTGTAAAGATTTACAATGTTGGCAGTTCTACTCGGTCTTGTAGGGTTGCTATGAATTGGAATTGACTCGGTCGTGGGTTTTATGCGTATGTTTAAACAAATATGTACAGCTCCTCTTCGCCGTCTTCCCCAACCCTCTGCTGCCGCAGCCATGAAGGTCAAGCTGTGCAGCTTCAGCGGGTATAAGATTTACCCCGGGCACGGGCAGCGCTACGCCAGGACCGATGGCAAGGTTTTCCAGTTCCTTAATGCAAACTGCGAGTCGGCATTCCTTTCCAAGAGGAACCCTTGGCAGATAAACTGGACTGTTCTCTACAGAAGGAAGCACATGAAGGGGCAATCAGAAGAAATTCAAAAGAAAAGAACCCGCCGTGCAGTCAAATTCCAGAGGGCCATCACTGGTGCATCTCTTGATGATATAATGGCCAAGAGGAATCAGAAAACTGAGGTTAGAAAGGCCCAACGAGAGCAGGCCTTCAGGGCTGCCAAGGAAGCAAAAAAGGCAAAGCAGGCTTCTAAAAAGACAGCATTGGCCACTACTGAGGCCCCCACAAAGGCAGCACCGAAGCAAAAGATTGTGAAGCCCGTGAAAGTGTCCGCTCCCCGGGTTGGTGGAAAACGCTAAGTTGGCAGCTGAGACTTTCTAATACAGATGCAACTATAACTTGAAAAAAATATATGCATATATGTACATACACATGTATGCACAAATTATATGAGGGGTTTCTTTTTTATTACTAATCATTTTATTGGGAGCTCTTACAAATATTTTAACAATCCATATTTCAGTTACATCAAGCATAATTTTATAAATGCTATCATCACATCATCAATTTCAGTACATTTTCTTCTTGAACTATCTGATACCATTTCCCCTTTATCCTTTCCCCATCCCACCCCCCCAGGAACCCTTATAGTTAGATAATATAATTATTTGCTGTTATCTTACACCATCCCATGTATCCATTCACCTGCAATTCTGTTGTTCTTTCCCCTCAAGTGGGGTTATACAGTCATCATTGCTGTCAGCTCTTCCCATCCCCCTCTTTTCCAGTACACTCAGGGAATCATTACTCCCGTTACTGTTTCTGAAGGGTTATCTATATTGGCTTTCATGCATCCAGTGAGCGCTCTTATAAATGAATATATGCAGGTCTAACAGGATTAATGAGGTAAAACAAAGATCATAATAGTAAGGGGAGGAAATATTAGTTATGTGTCTCATCAGTGCTATACTGCTCCCTAGATTTATCAGCCCTTCTGTGTGGCCATTCTGTGAGGGACTGTCCATCTTATGGTTGGATATTTAGGTCTCCATTTTATCTACGCTCCTTCGAGTGAATTTGATTGTTTTTGAACTGAGGGGTTTCAAGAAGTTTGTGGATAAAAGGAATTAAAAGATAATACAATTTTTTCCATGAACTTCTTGAAATCTCCTCGTGGAGCTAAAGTTTACTTTGAGGAACCCCTGTGGCACTATTAGGTCAGCATTGGATTTCTAACCGCAAGGTCAGCAGTTCAAACCCCCTAGCAGTTCCATAGGAGAAGAATGAGACTGACGTCCATAAAGATACATAGCTTTATGTAAACCCTCTATGGGATCCCTGTGTGACAGAGTCCACTTGAATGAGGTAGAATTTGGGTTTGGGTGATGCAGTGGTTAAAGCATTGGGTTGCTAACCAAAAGGTTGGTGGTTTGAACCCATTATCCACTCTGAAAGATGTGGCAGTTTGGTTTCAGAAAGGTTTACAGCGTTGGAAATCCTCTGGGGCAGTTCTAGTTTGTCGCATAGGGTCACTGGGAGTTGGAATCTATTTGAAGGCGATGTTATTATGCTAGTAAAGTTTTTATTTGAAGGTTGAAAATGTTAATCCACGCAATGGACTTCAAAAGACCATCTTCTCTTTTGCCAAGCTATGCTGCATTTATAAAAGACAGAAAATGTCCTTGTCCTTGCAGACTTTGTTTCATATTACTGATTGCAATCTCCACCTTGTAACATCACTTACCCTGCTTTCTTCTGCGTGTTTCCTATTCTTAATCCTCCCCCTTTTCTAATTCATTTGAACTTTGTCCTTTGGTAAGTACTGCCCTTTTGATCTCAAGTTGTTGATTCCTCAGAGGTTGGGTTTACCTCCCTAGAAGTGAGTTTAACCCAGTTTGTAGAAGATGGTGGATGACAGTGGGAGCCCCAAATCTATTTGCAGGGTCCCTACGTAGATTAAGCCTCTGATGAGTTCCCTCTAATAAGGGATATGAATAGCTTTAATATCATATAGAAGGTGTTGTGAACCCAATTATAGCAGACGTGATTTGGGTAAAATGTAATACCTGATCATTTGTTCTCTTTTTTGACACATTTTAAATTTTTTCCAAAAAAAAAAAAATTTGTTCCAGTCTTTAATATTTCCTCTCTCTCTTCCCCCTCCCCCCAAGGCTTGTGTGGGTGTGGGTGGGAGAGAATAACTGGATTAATGGTTTATTGGGGATATGGGAGGGGAGATTGGAGGGAAATGGGGAGCTAATAATGAAAACGAGGAAAAAATGTTCTAGAACTGAGTGTTGTGTTGATTATGCAACTAATATGACTGAACTATGAAAGTGTTATATATGTGAATTATATATCAAACTATTTTTTAAAAGTGAGTTCAGTTCTAGACCTGAAGGCTGATTAAGAGCCACTCTTACTACCTGACCAGTCAACCTGGTCCTTTTAAGGATTTTGCGCTTTCCATATTTTTCTCTTACATTTTTATAAGCTGTTCCTCGGGGTACAGGAGAAGTAATTTCATCATCACTCGCTTTCATTGAGTCAATTCTAACTTACGTGACCCTACAAGACAGTAGAACTAAATGTACCTGCGGGTTGCTAAGACTATAAATAGTTTTGTTTTTGTTTTTTATTTAACTTGGGATAAGATTTATTACAATAGCAAAATAAAATGGACAATCTCAATCATAAAGCAGAAAGTATTAAAAACTACAACAAATATAAAATGTGTCAAAAGGGAGAACAAATGATAAAATGTTAAATTGTAACCTAATTGCATTTGCGTTAATCTGATAAAAAGGCCATTTATATTCCTGGTCAATGGTCAGAGGGAATTCACCAGAGGCTTAATCTATGTGGGGACTGCAAATGGATTTGGGGTTTGTTTGTTTTTTTGTCATCCATAGCTTTTTGCAAAGTGAGTGCTCAGAATTTAAGCTTTAATACCATTCCCTTCTCCAGCCTTAGATTTTATTATTAACAATCTTTAGATCACACAGGCTGGTGTTCTTCCATAAGGACTTAACTGACAATTTAGATGGCTGCTTGTTTTAAGACAGGACGGTAAGACCGCAGATATCTGGCACCATCTGATTTCTTCACCACACTTTGTTATAGCACTCATATATTCCATGATCTCTTCATGAGGATAACTATCAAACAGGCTCACATCATAAGACCTACTTGTTCTTAGGTTACAACTACAATTAAGTTCGAGCTCAAAATCCATTTTTAAAAATCATTTTATTGGGGGCTCTTACAACTCTTACCACAATCCATACATACGTCCATTGTGTCAAACATATTTGTACATTTGTTGCGATCATCTTTTTCAAAACATTTTCTTTCGACATGAACCCTTGGTATCAGCTTCTTATTTTTTCCCCTCCTTCC